AACATTATGTAATGCTTAACGGATCATTAGTTAATGTTTACAAATTTCATTAAACTTTCAATTCATATGATCATGGATTTTTTTTTTAAATCTTCAAATGATTTTGACAGATGGTTTGCAATGATTTAAAGCTTCATTAATAAATTGTTAACAAACATTATGTAATGCTTAACGGATCATTAGTTAATGTTTACAAATTTCATTAAACTTTCAATGAGTTTTACAGAAATTATACAGTATTTACAAGCTTATTTGTTAATGTACTTTTGAATGCTTACAAATGTCACTTCAGTTCACATAATATCTAATGCTCATTTTTCCGTTTACAAATATTGTGAAAATATAGCTTATAGGCACTTCACAAACTATTCATGTTAATATATTTATTAGCTCATAATCACTGTAAAGGTCATATATTTGGTCTTTGTTTATTCTATTGACTTCTACTATTTGCACATCTTAAATCATTTATTAATAATTTGTTCATGTTTTTGGAGTACCCAATCTAAAGTGGAAACTATTCATCGATTGTAAATGTTTATAAACATTTACTTATCATTAGTACCTTTATGAGCAGTCATTTTGATGACAAAAAGTGTCCCAAATGACCGGAATTCACCCTATTTGCACATCTTTACAAATAATTCATTAATCATTTGTTCATGTTTTTGCAGTACCCTATCTAAAGTGGAGACTATTCATCATTTGTAAATGTTTATAAACATTTAAAAAAAAAAAAGTGACGTGACATGTGGCCAAGTATGGTGACCCATACTTGGAATTAGTGCTCTGCATTTAACCCATCCAAAGTGCACACACAGCAGTGAACACACACACACACCGTGAACACACACCCGGAGCAGTGTGTGCTACTTTAGCTACTTTAACAATGTTTGTGTAAAGGGTGGTTAGTTAAGTTTAACTAAATACATACGTTTAAGCTAAATGCTTGGTAAAGACATATCACACATTGTAACTTGGGTGCAAAACATGTTTTTATCACCTCAACACTTATATTAGTATAGTATTGTGTATCATTAAACAGAATATTCCTTCAGTCATACAATCAACAGGAGGGAGAAAAACAAAAGAAAATACTTCATTTATCAAAACAATGCAATATAAACATTGAATTGTGTTCCCTTATAATCAAATTGACCCCTGTACACTTGTTGACCCCTTACACAACCTTAACCCTACCCATACCACCAAACCTGTCCCTAACCCTACCCATATCACACCTCAACAGCAGCAAAAGTGTTGTGCATTAACAATCTGTTAACATCATTTGTAGATTTTCAAGATGTGCATGATCATATGAATTAGATTAATGACATTTGTAAGCATTTTAATATGCATGAAATGTTAATTATTAATGTTTAATACATTTATTAATAAACATTAACAAGCACATTAGTTCCCATTCAGTCAGTCACGTTCTACGTTACGTCAGTGACTGACGAATTGGGATCTCGCCCGAGAGCCCAATCACCTTCGAGTGTTAACTAAACAAGCCAATGACAGTTGGCGTGCGTGTTTCGCCACGCGCACCCCGCCCCGCAGCG